AATGGGTTGGAAAGTCAATCCTTGACTCTCTGTAGCCTGTGCCGCTGTTGTTTTGCTCTTGCAAAGTCAGTGAGCATAGAGTTGGGCAAATGTTAAACTGAATTAGTAAGAGACTCTCCGCCTCTCGCCTGTCCTTGGGCTGGATTGGTTCCCCCTGACCAGTTTCTTAATCCCCAGGGAACTTCTGGCCCCAAACGCACCCAACCTATTAGTCCTAGGAATATTCAGATGCATGCACGAGATGATTCCATGTGCCAGGAGTCTCCGAGGAATGAAATAAACCAGACCCTGGCTGGGAAGTACTGTCATAGGCACTGGGAAGGCAGGGAAAAGAGCTGAAGGGCCTTAGTGACAGCATGCCCCTCATTCTTTGCACCTGCCTGTCTCTCAGTGGTCATTGTGGACAGTTTCCCCTTTCCCTTCTTTGCTCAGATTCCCTGGACCTACATTGGTGGTATCCTTGCTCTAGCGCCAACCCCCCCCCCCCACGCTTGGCGGGTGCTGTTCTCTCCTTCTCCTTCCATTGCAGAACTTGTAGTCGTCTGTCTACTTGTCAGAATTCCCTGCTCACATGGTAAATCCCTTGGAGGCAAGTGCCTGGCACATACTGGACAGCCAATCAATGGGAGTCACAATCAATAGTGATCCTGTGTTCTTCCTGTGTTTCCCCTTCCCAGCTACGCCAGGAAACTTGTTCTACGCAGCGTGAGGTTGCCCTGGCTGTGAGTGGATCAGGGCGGGCGGCATCCGTGGCCTCTCGGAGCCCCCTTTTCTATTCTGTAATGGGGAGCTCATGCACTGCTGTTTTCTGGAGGGCCTCACCTCTGCTTCCAGTTTAACTCTCAAAATCAAATGAACACCTTCGAGTTTGTGGAGGAAGAGGTCCCAGGTTTCTCCTTGGGTCTCTAGGGTTAGGCAGGCCGAACTGAGCTTCCCCTGAGCGAACACAGGTACCCACCAAGATCACGCCCCTGGGTGGTGTCTACCTCCCCCTTCCGCCTTCCCAGTTCACCAAGAACCTTTCTCCAGAGACCCTCTGTGAACCTTTCTCACCAGGCGCGCTCATGAAGACTCTTACAAAAATAGCTGCAAGCTGGAAAAAGGAAAATAAAATAACTCTGTTTCTCTCTGCCAAAAACAACAAAGCAACAGTGTGCCTGCAGCCAGCTCAGTCCCTGGCATGGCTGTACTCACAGAACGGCTTATTCCCTTTCCTCTCCCTGACTGCAGCCAACTCCGCTGATTCTATTTCTGAGGTTACGTGCCGTTATTTGATTGATCGATCGATTGATTAATCGATCTGGCCCTTTGAGGTCACTGATAATTCTACCTTGTGGTTTGGACTGGTGACTGTTCCAAACGCCCGGCCTTCTTCTCATCCTTTGGGCCATTCTTGGAAATGTGCCACAGCCCTAAGTCTCTTCTGTCTACCAATTGTCCCCGGGTCTTCACTAAGGAAATGATTACACACATGGCTACTTGTTTGCAATGATAAGAAAAAAAAAACACCTCGCCCCTCCCAAGAATTCAGGCATACAACTGTGTCTTTGGTTAACCACTGGTTAACAGCAATCAGCAGCCGGCTATTAATTTACTCTTTCGAATTTCCTGTCTCTTTCCCTTTAAACTGGTTCAGTATGCAGGCCTGCTCCAAGATGAACAAAACCAGAATCCCCAAATCGGAAGGGGTGTGTACGTAGGTGAGCCATGAAGCAATCCAAATCCATGAGAATATTCTGTGCTCCATCACAGATTGATCTGAAGTTGTTTTTTTTTTTTTAAAGGAAGCCAGAAATCCAATGAAGCAGTTCAAATTGCAACTCAAGATATAGATTTTTAAAACATTTATGAAACTGTTAAACTGGAACAAGGCAGAAACCTCCAATAGATTCCCAACTCACTGATTAGAAATTTCATTTGTTCCTGTCCCCGATGGGAGCAGCCTGAGGACATTTGCTGTTCCTCTGTATCTGACAGTCTAGGCACCAGTAGGATATTTTCCAGCCTGATGCAGTGAGGCGTGTGTTTGTCTAAAGAGAGGGACTTCCACACTCCCTGGGAAAGTCTGGAAAAATGATTACTTTCAGTGCTTCTTTTTTTGTGTCATCTTGGTGGGTCTAGAATGGAATTATGAGCCTGGGAGCTTGGGAGTATAGCTTTGGCATGGCCACCGACTCACTGTGTGACACAAGGCAAGTCCCTCCCCGCCTCTCCCCGGTCTGCTCATTTGTTTTTGTTTTTGTTTTTTTTCAATATATGAAATTTATTGTCAAATGGGTTTCCATACAACACCCAGTGCTCATCCCCAAAGGTGCCCTCCTCAATACCCATCACCCACCCTCCCCACCCTCCCACCCCCGGGTCTGCTCATTTGGAAAATGAGAGCCATAGTCTATATGGTCCAAAGGGCCTTTGGTAGGTAGAATAATGGCCCCCAAAGACGGCCACATCTTAATCCCTGCAACTTGTGAATATATTACTCTACATGGCAAAAGAGACTTTGAAGTGTGTGATTAAGTTAATGACCTTGAAATGGGGACATTATCACGGGTTATCAGGAGGGCCTGATCTAATCACAAGAGTCCCTCTAAAGTGGAAGAGGGAGGCAGGAGAGGGTCTAGGATAGAGGGAGATGTGACCCAGGAGGTCACGGTTGTGTGCTGTAAGGACTCCACCCATCATTGCCAGGTTGGCTGATGGAGGCAGAGGCCACCAGCCACAGAACGTGGGTGGCCTCTGGGAGCTGGAAAAGGTGAAACGGTTTCTCCTCCTGAGCCTCCGGAAGGAAGACAGCCTTGCTGACACTTAGATTTTAGCTCAGGGAGAACTGTGTCCACCTTCTGACCTCCAGAATCCGGAGACAATAAATCTGTGCTTTAAGCCACCGTGTTTGTGGTAACCTGTTACAGCGGCGACAGAAAACTAAAACAGGGCCCCTTCCAGCAACCTTGCACTCAGTCCCTAAGGATTAAAGCCCAGCTTTGGCAACAGCCTTGCGCATCCCCGCACTGAAAGGGTGCTTGGGAGGAGGCATCTCAGGGATGCTGTGTCCCATCTGCCTCCTGGCCACCGCGTGTGTGAGCGTGGCTGGTCTGATTTGTCCCCCTGCGCAGGGGGAGCAGAGCCTCACATGCCTCAAGTCTGAAGGGGCCTCCGGAGATCCTCTGCGAAGACACGGGTACAGTATTATTTTCATCCTCAAATTAAGGGAACTGAGTCCAGAGAGCACAGCTGCCGAGAGAAGGAGACGGGGCGGGCGCTCCTAGCTCCTGCTACCTGGTTCTTCTCATTTGGTCACTGGGGAAATACCTCTTCCTTGTGCTCGTGGATCGGGCAGGGGAGAGGCGGGGAGAGGGAGGATGATGGTGAGAGACTGGAAGATAGAGCAAGGGCCAGGCAGTGTTTTCTGCGCATCTGTGCGTGAGGAGGAAGGCGCCAACCATACGAGGCTTTAGGGGAGACCTTGAGTTGGTAGTGATGGGGGAGTGGGGAAAGGGAAAGTTAGGCTACAGGCACCATCCCCTTGGAATTAACATGATGCCGTGAAGACACAGATTCTGCCTGGACAGGAAGCTCTCTCTTGCCGCAGCAGGCACCTCCCCACTAGGCACCTCCACCCTCCGATCCTGCCTGGACATCCTCTCAGAAGTAGCAGGAGCGAGGTGGGAAGCCAGTGTGGCCTCTGCAGGGACAAGCAAGTCTGTTTGATGGGGATGAGGAGGTGGGGTGCAGAGAGCCTCCGGAAAGGCTGGTATGTGGGAGGGAGGCCAGCTCGACTTCACTGACAGGGGAGAGGAGTCAGGACCGAAGTGCAGAGGGACGGGAAGGCCTCCTTCATGGTTCTTAGGTCTGGGCGGTGTTCTCTTCGAGCCACACGCCTATGGTCCAGGGCAGTGTCGTTCAGACCGCAGGCTGTGACCCATCAGTGGTCATGAGATCATTTAAAGGTTGCGATCAATAGTGTTCAGAGACTTCGAATAGAATGTAAGTGCATACCCTCCATACACTTTGTAAAGGTAAGCGTGGTTGCAGGAGACTTTCCATGGCTACAATCTGTGGGTTTTAACCCGGCAGGCCTGGCCCTTCCCAAAGGCTTTGGGGAGCGAGACCTTAGTAATGGGGGGAAAGGCAGCATCGACTCGGCTGTTTCCACAAGACCAGCTTTTAATATGACCGTGACCGGAAGCACGAATAAATAAACGCCAGAGAAAATGGAGAAACCAAATCAAACCAAACCTCAGAACATCAAAACCCAAATCTGGAGAATGGAACAAAACAGAACAGATCTCTGACAGACAGACAAAACAAGCCCCCACCCCCAGAGAAACAGAATTGGACTGTACAAGCCGGGTCACGAGGACAGCAGGATGACGCAGGTCCCCTGGATGAGCGCTGGAGTCGCCCAGGCCGCCCTGCCTCCACCAGGCGCTGGGACGGGGGTGGGGGTGGCCCCGGTCAGCCCACAGGCCGGCTCCGGCAAAGGGGTTTGTGGGCAGGTTAAGAACCTTCACAAACTACACAGGGACCGGACGTGGCTGAGAGTTCTGAGCTTTTCCTCTTGACCGTGCCGTCGCGATTCCAGCGTGGCCACGGGGTGGCTCTGGGGCTGGAGCCTGGTCCCACTGCAGGACTGCAGAGTGGCCGGCGGAAAGCGCACGGAGGAGAGTCGTGAACAGAGACGGACGAGGGGGTGGCGCCGCGAGCAGTCTCAGCATGCAGGTGCTTTATACATCTGGCAGTGAGATGTGATGGCAGGTTGGTTCTCGGACAGTTCCAGAGTGTGACTCTTTTCTCCTAAGAGGGACGCACGGCGGGGCCCGAGGACGTGTCGTGTCAGACGTGGCCACAGCGAGGTTTTGGCAGATAGTTTGCTATGTGTGCATAGGGGGCTCTTGCTTCCTTCTGTCATCAGGGGCCATCCCACCTGAGCCTGCTGTCCCCTGTCCTGGGTCTTGGGCCTCAAGGTCTGTTTGGGAGGGTGCCGGGTGGTCCATGGGCTGTCAGCAGGCAATCTCCTCCAAGGTCCCCAGGGCCGTCTGCAGGGGCACATTCACAGTGTGGCTGATGGTTTCAGAGTGGTTTGGCATCGTGTCACAAGTGCTCTGGAGGCAAGGAGATAGGGGGTGCTGATATTCATTCTGCAAAATGTTGTCATGATGCCCCTGGCAGCCCAGCCTAGGCCCTGGGAACTGTGGCCCCTGCTTGTGGGCTCTCCCAGGGCACCACGGCCCCTGCCCCAGACATCTCAGGGGCTGGCTTGCTGTCGCGGGGCCCGAGGCTGGAGGGGCCTCGCTGCCTTCAGGATCCTCACCATTGCCCACTTAGGTGCCCCCAGGGTAGGGACCGGGTGCCCTGGTGATGGGGTTTAGCAGCTGCCCCGATGTGTCACCGAAAGCTACTTCTGAGTGCTCTCTAACTCCGAGGCAGGAGCATGTCCCCTCCTGTCCTCCTCCTGGGGTCCTCCCTTGAGGCCTTTCTGGGTAGAGGAGGACCAGGCTGAGGGCACGGGGTGCCAATTGCTGAGGCCTAGGAGGAAGTGGGGAGGCCCCCAACCAGCCAGAACCAGAGTAGTCACGGCTCCCCAGTGGACCTTTAGGGTTAGGCTGGCCCCTGGCAGTCTCGGGTCCCTGGACAGGGTGGGGCTGGGGGGCCTTGAGCTTTCCCAGTGACTCCCATGCCGCGGAGGGCTGGAGGCTGGGAGGGATGGGAGCAGAGAGATAGCAGCCAGGAGGCTGTGCCAAGAATGTGGGGGAGATCTGATGAGGACGGGGCTGCGGTGGGGGGAGGTGACAGAGGCTGAGCACTTACTGTAAATTAGGCACTGCTGACTGCTTTACTGGCATGGTCCCACTTAATGCAAATGACAAGTCCCTGAGGTGCCTGTGACTCGACAGGTGCTCAGGGAGGTAACCCACCTGCCCTCAGGCACTAAGCTGGGAAGCAGGGACCTGAGTGCCGATCCCCGGCCCCTTCCACGCTGCCTTCCCCTCAACAGACACTGGTTTCTATTCAACAGAGGCTGCAGGGGCCCGGGAGAACCTAAGCAGAGATTTTTCGCCCGGGAGATGGGTAGAGACATGGCATCTGGGGCAGAAACGGGGGTCTCCTGGGGGGAAGGGGCTGGGATCACTGGGCCTGGGATTTGCTGACTCCAGGGGGGTGGTGGCTGCCTCAAGGGCCTGGCATTCTCAGGGCGAAGTCTCAACCGGGAAAAGCCAGAGATACCTGTACCAGGCAGCTGAGGCCAGAGCCCGGGAGCAGACTGAGTTTGGGAAGGAGAGCACACAGCCATAAGAGGTGGGGCCTCGCTGGCCGCTCGAGGGAAGAGAGGCAGAGTAGGACGGCGGTCAGGGGGGCTCTGCTTCCGGCTCTGCCATTCATCACCTGGGTGACCTTGACCTTTTAGGCCTCAACTGCCTCAAATACAAAATGGAGAGAACAGACCTTTCTCCAGGGTAACCGCACAGCTGAAGGACAAGGTACGCTTACGGCCTGCAGCATGGAGCCTGACACGTACTTGGCACGCACTAGGAGGTGGTTACGTGGGTAACAACCTCGCGGGGCCCTGAGCTCCGCGTCCCCTTCTGAAGGAGTAAGGCGCCAGTGACGTCCTCACTTGCACCTTGACACCCTGAGAGTAAGGGAGCGGAGCCTCCCTGCTTCCCCCAAGGCACACGATGAGAACTGTAAGGCTCCAGCCCTGGAGAAGCTAGACTGGGCCAGGTATTGGCTACATCCATGGCTTGCTATCAGGCTCTGGATGGGTGTCAGAGAGAGCCCCGGGCTCCGTGGGAGCGCCCTTGGACAACCTGAGTTAAGGCGTGTCTCCCCCGCCCAGGCCCTGACATCTGGTCTCATGCAGCCCCACAAAAGCAGAGAATAGAGCAACCTAGAGCACACAGGCTGCTCTTACCACGTTCTCGTCGTGGCTCCCTTCGTCCTCTTCTTTACCGAGCAAGTCTAAGAGCTTCTCTTTGATCAGCTGCAAGAAAATCAGGACAGGGTTGGTCAGGTAGAGCGACGAGCTCTGGGAGCCCCTGCCCAATCTTTTGGCTGAAGCGAGGTTTTGGTGCAGGAGGTAGGTCCTGGAGGAGGTCACAGGAGGCCCCTTCTGGCACGGGGACCGTTTTCTCTTGTGGAAGGAGCGTGTGGATGAGCAGCCTGGGAGCCCCTTTCTGAGGCTGGGCCTGGGGGAGGAGATTACCAATCACTTTCCAGGCCTGAGAGCCCCACTGTTCGTAAGACCAGGGCCCCCCCCGAGTTCATAACATTCGATTCCTAGCAACGAGGGGCAGTTATTAAACATGTTACTTGGCAGGATGCAATTTCCGTAACTTTATAACAACTCTTCCCCAAAATTAATAAGCAAAGCAGAATGAGATCTGGCCGTGGGTGACTTGGGTTTGGGGAACAAGGTCACCATGCCGGGAGGGGGAATGTGGCACTCCAGAGGACCCTGGTACTCGGGGTCCTCCAGCTCCCCACTATGGTCCCCAGGGGCCTTTGGCCAAGGATGGCCCTCTCTGGGAGGCAGGACACTGCTGTGCCGGCTCTTCTTGCTGGAGCAAAACTCTGGTGGCCCTGGGGACACTGAGGAACCCCCTTAGGAATTCTGGAGACACTGCAGCCAGCCCAGCTCTGGAGGACGCAGGGGAGACGGGGTGGGAAGGGAAGGCTGAGGAGCAAAGGAATTCTCAGAGCCAGAAGCCACTGTCTATTGTTTGAGATGCTTTCAGAGGCTCTGTTCCAGCTGCCTTTTGAGGGGACATCTCTGGCTGTGAACAGCCAGAAATGGCCTGTGTGCCTTTGTTCCTGCTTCCTCAGAATTGATGAAGTCGTCAGGAAATGCCGCTTCTCTAAGCCTGCCTGCATCAGGATAGGCACTACTCAGGTGACGGGCCACCCAGAGGGCCCATGTGTGCATGCGTGTGTGTGTGTGTGTGTGTGTGTGTGTGTGTGTGTCTGCTGGGTGAACGTAGTATATATGTGTGTGTGTGTATTTACGAGTGGTACCAGGGTGTGTGAGTGGTGTGTGTGTGTGGGGGGGGTATGTGTGTGCATGTGCTGTGAGTGTGTGGGTGCAGACACACATACGTATGAAGCCACCACAGCTGGTCTTGCGTGGGAGGGGCTCAGAGCTGGCCTCAGTTCTGGCTCTTCTCCTTCTCGATGCTTCCTCTCCCTTCCTGCAAGTGTGGACAGCCCACGAATCTCCCAGCTGCCTGGGGATAGGACTGTGGCTTCTGTCTCTCTTGGACCCACCCCCTCCTCCCTGCCTAGGACTTGGTGATAGACAGTATTTGCGGACAGGGAGGAGAAAGCGGGTTCTGGGTGGAAAGAGGCCACCCTCTCCCCCATGCATCAGGGTAGGATGAGAGTATCAGCATACGGTCATTTCCCCACGAACAACCCCAGTCTTACCTCGTAAATATAATCAAAGAGCTCTAGTATTGTAAGGATACTAGCACCAATAAACAGTCCCATCTGACCACCAATATCACCTGGAGAGAGAGAAAAGGTCAAAGATTTGGCTTTACTCATGGCCCTTCTAGGAAGGAGTGAACAAAGAACTCAGAAACCAGACCTCCCTCCACGGGGAGCCTGGGCCTTAGGTAGGTCAGGCCCTGGACAGCTCCCTCCCTCATTGCACAGCACCCAGTGTGGATGGGAATTAACCCAAATGCTTACTGGAGGGCCTACTGTAAGACCTCACAGGCTAATGGGCTTATTCAATTACCTTCAGAACCACACTCAAAGCCTCGCTTTGTCTCTGGGCTGGGAATAGAGACAAGAAGTGTGTGGTCTTGGCCTGGGGACAGGACAATGGAGCCCAAGACTCGTGTGTCAGGTGCCTTGGGCGTGGGTCTCGGAAACAATGGCACAAGAGACCTTCCTACCCTCCCAATCATGAAGAGGCCCACAGGGCCAACTCAAGGCACCTCTCAGCTTTGGGATAAGGTCATAGGAAGCATTCCCCTAACTCCCCCACCTCAAAGTAAATGCTCAATTTGGTCTTTTCCTAGAGTAGATGTTCTTGCTGGGGGGTATATAGGCCCCATTGACCAAAGTGTTTCTTGACTGGTCTTCAGGTCCCCCCCCGCCCAGTGTAGATACCTGGACATGCCCCCAGTCTATAAAATCAGAATCTCTGATTCTGGGGTCTGGAAGTCAGGATTCTTAAATTCCCAGGGGATTCTCTAACCCACCAGGGTCTGAGAACAACTCTCCTGTGGGAGTTGTGGACAGTTGGAGACCCTTTGGAAATGAATGCAAAACATTACATAGGTGTACCTGGGCATTTGTACCGGGAGAGTCCCTATTTGAGAAGCTATTATCAGATCCCCAAGGGTCCCCCCAAAAGTCCAAATGCTTGGCTCTGGAAGTCAGCGTGGTCAAATAGAGGGCTCAGAGTATCTGCGTTTGGAGAGTGGCCACCAGCCTGCTGTGTGGTTTTGATAACCCCTGACCTTCTCAGTAGCTTTGCCTTCAAAGGACATTTGGTGGTGGAGGGGAGTGGAGGAGAGAACTGTGAGGTTCTTGCCAGCTGGAGCCTCTGAGACCGTTAGCTGCTGGGCTGGGCGGGGAGAGCGCTGGGAAAGGGGGTGCACCGGGCTGACCTCGTGGTCTGAGAACTTTCTGTTGGCCACATCTGCCCTCTCTGATTACAATCCCTGATTATGGCTGAGTGGGGTCGGACAACCACAGTCCCAGGTGAGCAGGCAGAGAGGGCAGGAAGGGGGCTCTTCCTGGGTGGGCTTGGAGCTGGGCTCCAACGGTTCGCCTCACTCCTCTCCCCCCTGCCCTCTCTGATGCCCTTCGTGGGGACATTACTGGGGAGTGGGTTCTTACAGGTGTTCATGTCAGGTGTGAGGTGCGTGTTTGCATGTGTGTGCAGTGTGTGTGAGTGTGGGTTATGTGCCAGGGTCCTCTGCGTGTGCACATGCTTGTTTAGTAGAAGAAGCATGTCTGGCTGTCGATGGCTTCACGCAGGTGGCTATTTACGTCTAGGGTGGGGACCCTGAGTGTGTCTAAGTGTGTGTGAGTGCAGCTTTGTGGGGGTGGGCATAGTGTGTTTGAGTGTGCGGAACCTGTGTGAGCATGTGTGTGCGTACGGACAGGTGTGTGTGATGAGTCTGTGGGTCTGTGCCACCGTGCACCGGTGTGCGTGGCTCAGCATGGTGTGCGTGTGTGTGCGCTTTGGGGCGGGGTGTGCTGTGTGTGGATGAGTGCCTGTGTGGTGTGCGCTGGGGTGAGGGCGGGCTGTGCAGCGGTGAGGGAAGGGCCCAACGGGGACTGAGTGCTTGCGAGCGGCACGCACTCTTGTCACGGGAGGCACAGATGGCAGCATGATTTCTCAGCAGGCTATTCTGGGTGGGAACAAGATGCTGGGAACATCTCATCCTCATATCAGATGCAGAGATGAGCTATCCTTTCTGACAGATTCAGAGCTCAGGCCCTTCTCAGTGTGTGTGTGTGTGTGTGTGTGTGTGTGTGTGTGTGTGTAAGACAGAGAGAGAGAGTGAGAGCGAGCGAGAGAGAGAGAGAGAGCGAGCTGTGAGCCTATATGGGGGGATGGGGAGAGCCCTGTCTTGAGTTCTCTTTAGGAAATGAAAGGGAGGGATGCCTGGGTGGCTTGTTGGTTAAGCGTCAGACTGTTGATCTCGGCTCAGGTCGTGATCTCAGTTTGTGAGTTTGAGCCCCGCATCGGGCTCTGTGCTGATGGCGTGGAGCCTGCTTGGGATTCTGTCTCTCCTTCTCTCTGCCCCTCCCCCGCTTGTACGCACACTTTCTCTTTCTCTCTCAAAAAAAGAAAAAAAAAAAAGAAATGAGGT